TCCCACTCCCCCTGCTTGTGTTCCCTCTCTCACTGTGTCTCTCTCTGTTAAATAAATAAAATCTTTAAAAAAAAAAGAATCAAGAGCTACACTGTAATTTCCTTAACTATCTCAGGATCATTCATAGCACTCAAAATGTTCATTTTACACTGGGGTAATCAAAAAGTATTCATTAAATAAAGGCAAGGTGCAGCTGGAGGAAATGGTGCAGAGGTAAAACCGGGAGAAGAAAAAAGACCAAAGTGGGACACTGGAGGCTAAAAGGTAAGGTACAAACACCCAACAACATCAAATTCTCTCTGGACTTAAAAACACTTGATTTATCTTTTGTTGTTCAGTTTTCAAGAGCTTACCATCCTGGCCCCTACTACCTTAGCTGAATCAAAGCTTCCTAGAGTAGGACTCCAGGGTTTGCATTTCATTCTTCTGAGGTGATTCTGAGGCACAGCCAGGAGAGGGAAGCACTGGGTAACAGTGGTATACTGCCTAGCTTTTAGTTTTATGACAAACCAACCTTGGTAAAATCAACCTGGAAAACAAGTACGGCATTTCCTCTTGGGATGATGAAAATGGTTTTGAAAAACAGAGGTGGTAGTTACATAACACTGTGAATATACTAAATGCCACTGAATTGTTCACTTAATTTTAAATTAATTAAATGATTAATTTTATGTTATGTGAATGTCACCTCAATTTTTTAAAAAATCAAATTTGGGGCACCTGGGTGGCTCAGTCGTTAAGCATCTGCCTTCGGCTCAGGTCATGATCCCAGGGTGCTGGGATCGAGCCCCGCGTCAAGCTCCCCACACAGCAGGGCGTCTGCTTCTCCCTCTCCCTCTGCCACTCCCTACCCCCCACCCCGCCTAACTCATGCTCACTCTCTCTCTCTCTCAAATAAATAAAATCTTTAAAAAAATCAAATTTGTAAATAGTTAAAAAGAACAATTCAGATATAAAATGTAACATCCACTCTTCATCCACATAAATGTTTTATCTCCAAATAATTTTAAATTCTATTTGAGAAAAGTCAGCTTTGTTTCTTGAATGGAGAGACTGACCACAGCAGTTCGAATTCAACAAGTTTTTTAAAAATAAATCATCTGACAGGCGCCTGAATGGCACAGTCAGTTAAGCATGTGACACTTGGTTTCAGCTCAAGTGGTGATCTCAGGGTGGTGAGATCAGGCCCCGCGTCAGGCTCCATGCTCAGAGCGGAATCTGCTTAAGACTCTCTCCCCATCTCTTTCTGCCCCTCTCCACCAAACTCATTCTCTCTCTCTCTAAAATAAATAAATAAATCTTTTAGAAAAATTTAAAAAAATAAATCATTTGACTGAAATTTGCTGGTAATTTTCAAAATAAATAATTGAGGTTTTTTTCCAAAATTCTTTTTTTATGTATGTATGTCTGTATGAACATATACACATATATTCAAAATGTGCATGTAGGGGCGCCTGGGTGGCTCAGTCATTGAGCGTCTGCCTTCAGCTCAGGTCATGATCCCGGGGTCCTGGGATCGAATCCCACACTGGGCTCCCTGCTCTGCAGGAAGCCTGCTTCTACTTCTCCCTCTCCCCCTGCTTGTGTTCCCTCTCTCACTGTCTCTCTCTCTGTCAAATAAATAAATAAAATCTTTTAAAAAAAAAAAGGTGAATGTAGTGAAAATCATCTTTTAATCCTTTTTCTCCAAAGATTCTAAATATTCGAGTTCAGTTCTTACCCTCTTCTCTGCGCATCAACCCAGGCCTGATCCCTGCTATCTTTTTCAGGGTCATAGAGTAGCTCATCATTTGTTGGAATCCTGTGTCGGTTTTTCTTTTTCTTCTTGGTCACCTGTGCTAATTTTGAAAATGTTAAGGATATGGCTAGGTATCATGTCTAAAGCACACACTTCTTTAATACAGAACGCAGAACCTTCAGCTACATTTTTTTTCCTATGTATATTTTCCTTAAAAAAATTTTTTTAACTATTCCTCCAAATAAAGTTCTTGTCCAATTAATAAGGCATTAAAATGAAGATAACAGAGGAGGAAAAAACTGTTTCTTCACTAAAAACATGTTATCTCAAGAACTGAACTCAAATAATGAGAATTCAGTCTCAGAAAAGCTACTCAAAGTAAACCAAGACCAGAAACTTTTTGATGTTATAAATTCTCAACAAGTTCCCACATAGAAAATGCTACTGAAATCAGAATAAAAGTATTTCAGGGTCCCTGGGTGGCTCAGTCGTTGAGCGTCTGCCTTCGGCTCAGGTCATGATCCCGGGGTCCTGGGATCGAGTCCCGCACTGGGCTCCCTGCTCAGCGGGAAGCCTGTTTCACCCCCTGCCTGCCTTTCCTTTCCCCCTGCTTGGGTGCTCTCGCTCTCTGACAAATAAATAA